TTGTGAAAGAATATTAGTTCACTTTGACTTTGATAAATGTGTTTGGTTAGATATTTTACAGCGCAACTAATTGCATAGAAATATTTTAAAAAGCTTGTTAGCGCAGCTCCTGCGGAGCTGAAATGTGGAACTCACGTATACCTTTAGCTTTGTTACCTGATGCATCATCTATATACTAAAAGACTTCTCGTCAACTATAGTTGTTTTCCTTGAGAATCAATGAAAAGAGTGGGAATTTATTATTTATTTGTACATTAAAAAATATATTAAAAGCGAAAAAATTGTTTTTTTCATTGGAGCGCGCTCGATTTTATTTATAATTATTGCTATATACTCGATAATAATCTTTTTTTTTGTTTTCTAATTTGAAGTTATTTTTCTCCACCATCGACTATTTGATGAATACGCTTGTTGCAGTCTGTAATGGGAGGGGGGGGGGGGGGCAAAACCTCGAACTTAAAACTTACACTCACTATTTTCTTCGAAAATATACGTGAGTTCCACAAAAGGAAATTAAGCATATAGTTAGAAATCTTACGGTCTCTACCCCTTCAAAAATCCGATCTCGAATCAGGAACGTTCGAACGAGCTGACATTCGGAAGACATATTGGGAACATTAAGGAGAGTCTATAATAACATTTTCAGATTCAAAGTATTTCATTTAAGGAAACTAATGTCGAAAAATAGCTACTTTAGTAACTCAAATTTTTCTGTAATATTTTCTCCAATGTACTAATATTTGCTTCCGTTCGAAAGAGTGTATCAAGATGCAGAGTACCACATCATTCTTTTTTTTTGAAATATCTCTTTTTAATCGAAAAAGAGAAGTTACAACTTCAATGCCTGAAAACATTTATGAAGTTATATCTCTGACTCCATATTGACTGAAAAAAGGGTAATATAAGAAAAAGGACAACTTAGTGCCCTGCATCTTGCCACACTCTGTCAAACGAAAAAGAAAATGTTCATACATTGGAGAAACTATTACAGAGAAAACTGGGATGCACGTACGAGAAAGCGAAAATGAGAAAAAACGAAAGACATTTTTGGGTATCTCAAAAAAACATGTTGGTTTTTCAAAAACTGGATCTTTGAAAACTTGACTGGTTTCTAGAAAAAACGAGTTTTCTAGGAAAAGTTTATCAATTTTAGAAGATCAGACAGCAGACTGTTTTGCCATGTTTTTATCTCAATTTTGACAGTTGTCAGGAAAATTGACTTTTTTAAGAGAGGAGTAGGCCTTCATTGAAAATGACGTTCCTCATTACATTTGAGAATAATAGAAATTTCAAGTGCATTTCGAAAAAATATGTGATTTTTTAAAATATTTTGATGAATTATAAAATCAAACTTTTCAAACTGCCCCAGGTCCAAGATTTCTGAAGTGATCTTCTTTGGCCCTAACTTCAGGAATTCGCAGCCAAGAAGCTAGTTTCTGCTGGAAACCGTCAGAATTTATAGAAAAATGGACGTAGAAATTCGGAGACTACCCGATTGTTGGTTTGACCAAGGTCTGGAAGATTTTGGGCACAACTGAATCAAACCTGTTACTGGAAGCTTTCACCGGAATATTACCTTCATGTTCCATTGACGTTTGGCGTTTTTCTACGAAAACCTATCCATATTGTCGATCTGGGATAGGTTCTTAAAAACGCCTTGAAAATCAGTCTTCGAAATTTTCATTAAACTTTTTCAGATTTTTCATTTTTTCTTTTAGAAATAGATTGTGGCAGAAGGCTTAGGAATCAATTCCAAATGCGAAATTTTTCCAAAAGTTTTCCCATGATAAATATTTTAATGCCATCCAAGTAGTTTAAAACATTTATTATCCTTCAGAAAAGTGGAAAAATATTTCAGAGAGTTAGAGACAAGCAATTAGTGTTTTCATTGGTCTGCCGACTTAGCAATGTGGATTACTAAGTTTATTTGTATAACTCATTGCAAACGCTTAGTTACCAGAAAAATTAAGCATTCTACAGCGATGACTATGATTCCAGATGAAAAGCACTTACAAAATTGTGCTCTAAGTTATGTTAAGCGATTTAACTAAGCGAATCAGCTTTCAGCAGCTCAAAACTGTAATATTCAAAAATTTTACAGCGTTTATCTATAGTGAAAACGGATTTAAGCCGCTTGAAAAAACCTTACTCATGCACAAATTTTTACATGGGATACGAGGTTGAGAGACTATACTTACATATTTATCAAAATTATCGAGTTTTCTACTTCAGTTAAACAAACATGTTGTGCTTTAGCTGCACAAAAATTTAACTATGGTCAAAATTGTGGATATGATTCTCCGTTTTTTTCTAAAAAACAAAGAAAAATTACTTTTTTTGTAATTTATATTAAAAAAAATAGAGTGAATTTGTTATACAAAACGAACTGGATACATTATAACCTATCATTTAAAAAAGTTAATTTACAAAAATTGTAGTTTTTAAAATCTATTTGTGGAAAAGCTACTTCATTTTTTTTTTCATAAATGTAAAAAGTTCAAAAGAATTATTTAAGGGGAACCCCCCCCCCCCCTGAGGAATGGTTTTTCGTTATTCGTGGACCGATTCGCTTGAAATTTTCAGGCAATATGGATGCTGTGTTAACTCAAGTCCTTGCAAATTTTTGGCTCATAAAGCTTTTGCTTTAACGAGTTATTGACAAATTAATCCCCAAAATGGTGGTCTCCGTAAGGTACCGATTTCTCAGACTGTTGAAAACGCAGAGAGATACCGTTTGTTTTAAAAAAAAGAGAAGACTTGAATCTAGAAATGTATATAGCGTTTTTTGGAAATTCAATTTTGTTCGGATTTCCGAGACATTTTCCTGCAAGAACTCGAAATTTAGCGCTTTTTGACGTCATTGTTATCCAGTTATCACGGCGAAGAAATCGAATTTCGAAAAAACGCTATATACATTTCTAGATATAGGTCTCTTTTTTTATTTAAAAAAAAAAGTAGCTCGCTAGCTTCTCTGCAGTTTGAGAAATCGGTTCCGAGCTCTCCAAAAAAGTGATTTTGAGAAAACGAATAAACAAGTTTGTGAAATGTGTAAATGAGTGGGAATGTAACAAAAGTAGTTAGTGTTATATATATTTGAAATCAGCGTAAAATTCTCTTTTTAAAATTGCATAATTAAATAAAATATGAAACACTTTTTTTTTCCACTATGACTGTCGTGACCTCTATACTATAATTTCGTCACATATAAAGGACTCTAAGCAGAAACGGCTACGCTTATGGTACACATGGCGGTGAGAATGTATTTGATAGTGTCTATACTATAGTAGTTTCATTTCGATCAATTTTCATAAAAAAAAGATTTTAGATCATATAATTGCAATAATGATATGTGCTGAACTACAAGTTTGAATTTTTTTCTCTGTTTCGTGAATATTTTCTTGATTTCAACTTTTCAAAGTTATTATTACTCATTATTCTTGAATTCTTTCATATCTCTTTTAGATGCCACGTCGTCGGTCTCTTTTCGGCTCTAGTGTTCGATCTAAACATTGTAAAACACTCGTACATTCTCGTTCAAATTCATCATCATGTTCAACAGCGAACAAAGAAAATGCACCATCATCATCTTATTTTTCTTCACTCTCGTCTAACCAAACTGGACCACATATTACCCCGAAAATTTGCCGTTTACCACTGTCGTCACTTCAAACTACTCCTTCTTCACAACAACTAACTACTTGTCCTCAAGTCTACACGCAAAGTTCAGCTTACAAAATTCGAAATCATGTTGGGCCTTCATTCAAACGACTTCGACAATATGAAGAACAAGAACAGCATCAGTCAAACAAATCGGAAGCAACTACCATGGCAAAAGATTCTTTGGACTTTTATCAAATTATTCATAATGATTTCTTATTACAACTGATGAGAAATACCACCTGTAGTAATTGTAGTGATGCATGGAATGGAACTATGTCAATAAGAAAAAGAGAAGGTATATAAAAGAAGTATTGCATTTTTCTCAAGGCTGATTGATCATTTTGCAATTATCATTTCGCTTTTTTCTGTTGAAACATAGCAAAATAATTGTTTATGCAGCTATTAGCTGATTTCGAATGACAAATGAATTAGATAAGTATAATTTTATCGTTTTTTTCTACCGCAAAAAGGTGCTTTCTGTTCTCAATTTTTTTGTTTAGGATTGTACTGTTCATTGGAATTTATATGCACATGTGGGCATACAATCAAAATTAACACTTCCAAGCAATGTGAAAAGTCAAAATTCAGAGATGTGAACGTCCGCTCTATAATTGGTATGCTCATAATAGCTGAGACATTTTCTTATAGCTAAAACAATTATTTTTCTCTTTTCTATAGGCGCACATTTAGCTGGCCTGGGACACGCAGGTATGTTGAAACTGTGTGGGGCAATGAATTTTCCGGCACCCAT